TAATGGTAATTTGAACACATAATGCTCAATGACAGCGAAATATTCAGTTATGTTTAATGCAAAGGCAGTGATGTTATTCTTAATCTTAAGAATTGATGCACAAAAACTTGTAACCAAACGACACGCCTGATGAAATGGAGGAAAGTTGTGTTTTTTTTCCTTCTCTTGCTTTGTTTTCTAAGTGTTGTTTTGTTTAAAAAAAATAAAAATATATTTAAAAAAAGAAAAGGTCAACGCAGATAGGCGCTGAATGCTCTTGGCCTTCAGATCAACTGCTGAACCCTGCATTGTGTCAAAAAAGGGGTGTCTTTTTTATTTTTTGCAACCATCTACCCTCTGCTTATTTTGAACAACCACTGTGGAATAAAGAAACGATGAGTGTAAACAGCTACGTTTTTTCCATCTCCACAAACTTGGTTACAAAGTGCAATTTTGGACAATTGGTGGAAGCACAATGATCAGTTACATGATTTGCCCTTCCTTCCTTCTCCTCCTTCCCTCCCTTCTCTTCCCTTCCTTATCAGTGTTTTTCCTTCTTCCTTCTGTCTTTCCCCCCTTTATCAGTCTCTTTCCTTCTCCTCTTTCCTTTATCAATATTTTTCCTTATTCCTTCCTTCTTTCCCACTCTCCTCCCTTCTCTTACCTCATTAGTGTCCTCTCCTTCTTCCCTCCCTCCCTCCCTTCCTCCTTCCTTTCTTCTCTTCCCTCATTTATGTGTTTTCCTCCTTCCTTCCTTCTCCCTCATCAGTGTCCTTCCTTCCTTCTCCTCCTTCCCTCCCTTCTCTTCCCTCCCTTATCAGTTTTTCCTTCTTCCTTCCTTCCTTCCTAATATTTTTCCTTCTTCCTTCCTTCCCTCTCTCCTTCCTCCCTTCTCTTCCCTCATCAGTGTCCTCTCCTCCTTCCCTCCCTCCCTTCCTCCTTCCTTTCTTCTCTTCCCTCCTTTATCAGTGTCCTTTCTTCCTTCTCCTCCTTATCAGTGTTTTTCCTTCCCCTTCCTTCCTTCCTTTCCTTCCTTCCTCTTTCCCTCTCTTATCAGTTTCTTTCCTTCCTTCCTTCCTACCTACCTACCTATCTACCTACCTACCTACCAGTGGTGGGTTTCAAAAAAATTTGGAACCTCTTCTGTAGGTGTGGCCTGCTTTCCGGGTCCACTGGTGGAACCTCTTCTAAGCGGTTCGGTAGATTTGACGAACCGGTTCTACTGAATAGGTGCGAACTGGTAGGAACCCACCTCTGCTACCTACCTCCCAACCAACCTTCAAAAACAATTCATACAAAATGTTGGAAATACTTTGCACACCTCCAGTGAGTACCATTGCTTAAGTAAAGAAAAAAGAGCTCAAATATATATATTTTTTGATGACTTCATGAGTTTGCCTGCCCACCCAATAAGAAAGGACGCTTTGCACAAGACAATTCTCCAGCATGCCAAGCAACTTTTTCTACCATGCAAGTATCTCTACGCAATCAACACATTCAGGCATTTCACAAACAGCTCAAAGCAACAATGGTTAGCTTGGAAAGGGAGCAAGCAAATCGTCCATTCTTTTGCAGGGAATGATGGATAAGATGAAATTCAAACAATGGTCCTTGAATTATCTCACAATCTTCATACTGTTGAATCTAAGGTAAAGGTTCCCCTTGCACCTATGTGCTAGTTGTTCCCGATTCTAGCGGGCGGTGCTCACCTCCGTTTCAAAGACCAAGAGCCAGCACTGTCCAAAGGCGTCTCCATGGTCATGTGGCCAGCATGACTCAACACCGAAGGCGCATGGAACGCTGTTTTCTTCCTTCCAAAGGTGGTTCCTATTTTTCTACTTGCATTTTTAATGTGTTTTCGAACTGCTAGGTTGGCAGAAGCTGGGACAAGTAACGGGAGCACACTCTGTTATGCGGCGCTAGGGATTCGAACCGCCAAACTGCCGATCTTTCTGATCGACAAGCTCGGCGTCTTAGCCACTGAGCCACCTTCTTTGTTCTCACTTAAAACTGCCTTAAATGGAAATTGTTTTGGGAGCATAATAGGAGATTGGCTCACGAAGCAACTGATTGTGCCAAGAGTGGCCTTTTCCAGAAATATATTTGGTTCTTGCTACATGAATGACATCTAAAAACAAAACCTATCCTTCGGCTTCACAGAACTTGTGCAGAATATTTTGAAGTCAGAATATCCTGACTTCTGAAACGCCCTTTAGAAATTCCGAGTCACCAGAAAGGCATCTATGGGGATTCTCAGTCATCCAAGTTATGGTTGCTTTTCCAAAGATGCTTTTCCAAAAAGGTAGCTGGATTTTCTTGGGGGGTGTTTTTTTTTTCTTTGAAAATGTTTCGCTTCTCCTCCAAGAAGCTTCATCCGTTCTGGAGTACAGTTGTCTTTCGGAAAAGCACCTTCGGGTTACCAGAATAGACCACATCAAGATCAACGTCGCCCGTCTGGAGAAGATGAACCTTGTGAGTTGACTTCAACGGTGTATTAATGTTGGTTGGAGT